ACTCACCGATGCCCATGTGCCTGCCCTTCCTGCGTGCCAGCGTGTTCTTCCTGCAGCGGGCGCGCGAGTGCACGGTCACGGGCTTGCGGATGATCAGCCCATCCTTGATCAGCTTCCGGATCTGCTGCCCTGCAACGGCACCCACACCCTGCTCGGGGGGCTGCCAGGGGGCACCGAGCCAGCCCACGGGGACAGCCAACACCCTGGACAAGGCAGTGCCCCCTCCCAGAGCCCCGTTCTCCCCCTCCTCACAGCCCTGTGCTCCCTTCCTTACAGCTCTGTTCTTCCTCTCCTCAAAGCTCTGTTCTCTCTCCCTCAAAGCTCTGTGTTTCCCCTCTCAGGACCCTGTTCTTCCCCACCTCAGAACCCTGTTCCACCCCTCCTCACAGCCCTGTTTCTCCCTCCCTCCCTCCTCACAGAACTGTTCTCTCCCCATCAGAACCACATTCTCCCCTCCTCTCATAGCCCTGTGTTCCCCCTCCTCAAAGCTCTGTTCCCTTCCTTACAGCTCTGTTCCTCCTCCTCTCCCAGCCCTGTTCTCCCCCTCCTCAAAGCCCTGTGTTTCCCTCTCCTCACAGCTGTTCCCCCTCCTCTCAGAGCTCTGTTCTTCCTCTCCTCAAAGCCCTGTTCTCTCTCCCTCAAAGCTCTGTGTTCCCCCTCCCCAGAGCCCTGGTCTTCCTCCCCTCAAAGCTCTGTGCTCTCCCTCCTCAGGGCCTTGTTCTCCCCCTGTTCAGGGCCCTCTGCTCCCCCTCCTCACAGCCCTGTGTTCCTTCTCCTCACAGTCCTGTTCTCCCTTCCTTACAGCTCTGTTCCCCCACCTCAGAGCCCTGTTCTCCCTCTCCCCACAACCCTGTTTCCTTTTCCTTCTCCCACTAGACCCCCACCAACCCCAACTTCCTCCCCGTTTATCTCAGAGCACACCCCCAGCCCCCTCAGCAGTGCAAACCCTGAAACTCCCCACTTCAGTTCTGCCTAAACCCCCCAGTTTGGGGGACCTTTCCCAGCCTCCCCCCACCCCCGCAGGGTCCCAGCCGTGCCCCACGCACGGGAGTTGGCGTTGGCGATCTCGTTGGTCTCGTTGGGATCCAGCCACACCTTCTTCTTCCCGCAGCGCAGCACGCTGGAGGCCAGCCTCTTCTGCAGCCGGAGCATGCTGGGGAGGGGGCACGGCTCAGGGGGCTGCACCCCGCGGGACCCACAGCCCCCCGAGCCCCCTCAGGGACCCACAGCCCCCCCGAGCCCCCTCAGGGACCCACAGCCCCCCCGAGCCCCCTCAGGGACCCCTGACCCCCCTTTAGGGACCCTACAGCCCCACCTTTAGGATCCTACAGACCCCTCAGGAACCTCCGACTCCCCCTTTAAGGACCCCACAGGGACCCCTGACCCCCCTTTAGCTTCCTCAAGGACTTCTGACCCCCCTTTAAGGACCCTACAGCCCCCTCAGGGACCCCTGACCAGCCCTTTTAGCTCCCTCAGAGACTCCTGACCCCCTTTTTAGGGACCGTCACCCTCCCCTGGGAGGGTCCTCACCTCCACCAAGGGACCCTCACCCACCCTCTGGGTACCCCTCACCTTCTCAGGGTCCCGCATCGCCCCTCACGGGACCCTCGGCGCCCCCATCCCGCTCAGCGCCCCCAGACCCCGCTCAGCGCCCCCCCGGCCCCTCAGCGCGGCCACGGCGCCGCGCCGCCATCTTCCCGCCAGGCCTCAGGAGGCCGCGGCCGCCTCACAGCGCCCGGGGCCGCCATCCAGCACTGCCCGGGCGCCGCCCCGGTGCTGAGGAGACTCCCCCGCTCCCATCCAGCCCTCCCCGGTGCCTCCCGAGCCCCGTTTTCCCCCGAGCAGCGGCCGCGGCGCCGCTCCCACCTCATGGCTGCGGCGGCGCCGGGAGCGGAGAGACGCAGCGGCGGCGCTGGCCCCGCCCCCTGCGCGCCGCACGTACCACCGCGCCCTCCCCCCCGCGCCCGCTCCCGCGGCCTCGCCGCAGCCCGGAACGCGGTGAAGGAACGAACGCGATTAAATCACGCGTGGTCGATCATTTAAAAGATCGAGACCCACGCGGGATATGTGGGAGAGAGGTGGGTCCTTCCCGGCTCCCCCCCCGGGTGTAGAGGGATGGTGCAGCCCGCGCGTGCGTGGCGGGAAGGGCTGGGCGGGAGCCGCGCATGCGCGGTGGGGGCGTGGGAGGCACGTGGAGGGATGGACTGGGACTAAAATCACTCGATTTCCCCCCAAAATCACTTGATTATACCTGAAAATCACCTGGGGAACCCCCAAAATCGCCTGGTTACCCCCCAAAATCACCTGGTTATCCCCTAAACCACCTGACTATACCTGAAAATCACTTGATTACCTCCCAAAATCACCTGGTTATCCCCGAAATCATCTGGTGAACCCCCAAAATCACCTGATTATCCCCCAAAATCACTTGGTTACCCCCAAAATTACCTGGTTATTCCCTAAAGTCACTTGGTTATCCCCAAAACCACCTGGTGAACCCCCAAAATCACCTGGTTATCCCCTAAAATCACTTGGTTAGCCCCCAAAAATCACCTGATTCCCCCCAAAAATCACCTGGTGCCCCCCAAAATCACTCCCCCCAAAAATTACTTGATTTCCCCCCAAAATCACCTGGTTAGCCCTGAAAATCACCTGGGGAACCCCCAAAATCTCCTGGTTATCCCCTGAGATCACCTGATTCCCCCCAAAAATCATCTGGTACCCCCCAAAATCACCTGATTCCCCCCAAAAATCAGCTGGTACCCCCCCAAAATCACCTGGTGAACCCTGAAATCTCCTGGTTATCCCCCAAAACCACCTGATTATCCCCCAAAATCGCTTGGTTACCCCCAAAATCACCTGTTTACGCCTTAAAATCGTCTGGTTACAGCCCTGAAACCACCTGGTTATCCTCTAAATCACCTGTTTACCCCTGAAATCACCTGGTGAACCCCCAAAAATCACTTGATTTTCCCCCCAAACCACCTGGTTTTCCCCTGAGATCACCTGATTCCCCCCCAAAAATCACCTGGTGCCCCCCAAAATCACCTGATTCCCCCCAAAAATCACCTGGTGCCCCCCAAAATCACCTGGTTATCCCCGAAAATCACCTGGTAATACCCCAAAATCATCTGATTACACCTGAAAATCACTCGGTGAGCCCCCAAAATCACCTGATTATACCCCAAAATCACCTGGTGGACCCTGAAACCTCCTGATTGTTCCCTGAAATCCCAGCCCCGAAGTGCCACCCAGCCCTTCCCAAGGCTCCCGGGAGGAGCGGGCGCAGCCGACCCCAAATTTGAGGGGTTCCAGGTGGGGCTCCCCGCGGGTTTTCCGAGGGGTTTTCCCTCCTTCTTTGGGATTTTTTGGGGAATATCCGTGCCTGGGAGCGCGTGAAGCTCCTCCCGGGAGCGGGGGAGAGGAGGAGGAGGAGGAGGAAGAGGAGGAGGAGATGCTGTGATCGTGCCAATCTCCCGCGTCCACCCCCGGGCACGATCCCGGCTGGGAGAAACCCCGAAAAAAAACCTCAAAAAAATCCCCCAAAAAAACCTCAACCCAGCCCAAAAAAAAACCCCAAAAACCCCCAAAAAACAACAACAACAACAAAACAACCCCAAAAATAAAAAAAAAACAAAAAAACCCAAAAAACCCCAAAAAAAACAAAAAAAGGGATGGGGGCGGGTTTTGGGGGCGGCATTGAGGGGGGAGGGGTCCTCATTCCCGCATCCCCCCCCAGGGAAGGCGGTGCCGCCCCTCCCTCACCCCCTCCCTGCGCCATCCTCCTCCTCCTCCTCCGTCACCGCGGGGGCCAGGCCTGAGCTTCATCGTCATCCTCTTCCTCCGTGTGTGTGTGTGTGTGTGTTCCCAACCACACACCCACCCCAAAACCCCCCCAAAAAAACCCAAAAAAACCCCAAAACCCGCGGCGCGTCCATGGTGCGGGAAGGCGGCATGGCCCGGACCCCCTCCAGCTCCACGCAGGACATCCAGATGGACATTTTGGACAACGCCGCCCTCCAGGTGACACCCGCGACACTTTTTTGGGGGGGTGGCAGCATGATTGAACCCCCCCCCGAGGATTTGGGGGCGTCCCATGGGTGGGAGATGGGGTGCAGCCCTTCCCCACCCCCCCCCAAATTTTCGCGTTGGTTGCGGGGTGGTGCCGCCCCCCTAAAAATTATAAATATTAAAAAATGCTAAAATAAAGGGGGGGGTCTCTAAATGCGCGTCCCCCCCTCCTCAGTTTGGGTTTTTTTGGTTTTTTTTTGGGGGGGGTTGTTGTGCCCAACGGGAAAGTTTTGGGAATTTGGGAAAACTCTCGGGGTGCCCCCCCCCGCCCCCCTTCCCTCGGGCTGTCCCCTCTGGTTTGGGGGGGCAGCGGGGACAGTCCCCTCGCTGTCCCAGAGGGGTGGGGGGCGCTGGGGACAGCCCCCCCCCATCTCTGTGCTCTTGGGGGGCACCAACTGAGGAGGGGGTGATTTTTTGGGGGGGTCCTGCACCTAAAAATCCCCCCACCCCCGGGCTTTGGGGGCACTGGGGGGGTGACAGCCCCCTCCCCACCGGGGCTTTGCCCCCTTTTATCACCCCCAAAGGGCGGGGTGGGGGGCACTGCGACACCCCCACATCCTCGTGTGGGTCTGGGGGGTCTCGGCACTGGGGGGGCCAAGGGGGGCGTGGTGTCACCCCCACCCCGGGGGGGCTGTGGGGTCTGCTTTAACTGGGGGGGGGGGGCGGCGACCCCAGCCCCAACACGGTGGGGGCTGGGCGGGTTTGGGGAATACCACGGGAGGAGCGCCCCCATCCCCATCCCGAGCCCCCCGAGTTGGAGTTTGGGGTCGCAGCCCCCCAGTAACAGGAGAGGGACGCCCCCATCCCACCCCCATCCCCTTCCAGAGCTCCCCGAATTGGAATTGGGGTCGCAGCCCCCCAATATCGTGGAAGGGACGCCCCCATCCCCATCCCCACCCCATCCCAAGCCCCCCCGAGTTGGGGTTGGGGTCACAGCCCCCCAATACCATGGGAGGAGGGCTCCCCCGGGAGTTTTGGGGGGTTTATGGGGTGGGGGGTGACTTCCTCCATCCCGATCCCCACGAGTTTGGGTTGGGGTCGCAGCCCCCCAGTACCGTGCAAGGGACGCCCCCATCCCCACCCCGACCCCGGGCTGGGCTGTCGCGCTTCGGAGCTGGGGGGGTTCCGCGCTGCCCCCCGGTTTTGGGGGTGAGCCGGGGGGGTTCCGCGCTGCCCCCCGGTTTTGGGGGTGAGCCGGGGGGGTCCAGCCCTGCCGTGCCGCCCCCTCCCCTTTCCCCAGGGCAAGTACAGCCGGCGCAAGAGCCGCTTCAAGCGCTCGGACGGCAGCACCTCCTCGGACACCACCTCCAACAGCTTCGTGCGCCAGGTGCGGGGGGGCCCCGCCGCTTTTGGGGGGTCCCGGAGCGCCTTTGTGCCCCGGGGGGGTCACACCGAGCCCCCAGCTCTCCTTTGTGCCCCGGGGGGGTCACACCCCAGGAGTTTTGAGGGGTTTATGGGGTGGGGGGTGACTCCATTGGGGTCCCCCAGAAGTTTTTTGGGGGGTTTATGGGTTGGGGGGTGACTGCCCTGGGCTCCTCCGGGAGTTTTTTGGGATTTATGGGGTGGGGGGTGACTCCCCCAGGGTCCTTTCAGCTCGTCCAGGAGTTTTGGGGGGTCTGTGGGGTGGGGGGTGACTTCCCCGGTGTCCCCCTGGAGTTTTGGGGGGGGTTTTTGTCCCACGTGTCACCCTGGGGTGTCCCCGCTGTCCCTCCGGGCCCGGGGGTGGGCAGGGGGTGCCCGAGTGCCCCCCACAGCGCCCTGGGGACGCTCGGGGGGGTCCCGGAGCCCCCCCGGCAGCGGGGCCGGTGTCACGTTCCCGGAGCGGTGGCGACAACTGGCGTGTCCCTCTCCTGCCGTGACCCCGCCAGGGTGGCACCAGGCAGGGCTGGGTGGCACCGGGAGCTCGGGGTGGCACCGGGGTGGCTCTGGGCAGCCCCGGGTGGCTCCTGGTGGCACTGGGCAGGAGCAGGGTGGCACTGAGAGCTCCAGTGTGGCACCAGGGTGGCACCGGGGTGGCTCTAGGCAGGAGCAGGATGGCACCAAGGTGGCTCTGGGCAACACTGGGTGGCTTCTGGTGGCACTGGGGTGGCACCAGACAGGACTGGGTGGCTCCAGGGTGGCACCGGGGTGGCTTTAGGCAGGACCACAGTGGCACCAGGAGCTCCGGGATCTCTGGGGTGGCATCAGGGTGGCTCTAGACAGGCCCAAGGTGGCACCAAGGTGGCTCTGGGCAACACTGGGTGGCTTCTGGTGGCACTGGGGTGGCACCAGGCAGGACTGGGTGGCTCTGGGCAGCACCAGGGTGGCACCAGGGTGGCACCCAGAGCTCCAGGGCAGCACTGGGGTGGCACTGGGGACTCCAGGGTGGCACCAGGTGGGACTGGACAGTCCTGGGGTGGCTTCAGGCGGGACCAGGTGGCACTGGGCAGCCCCGGGGTGGCACCGAGGTGGCTCTGGGCAGCACCAGGGTGGCACTGGGGACTCCAGGGTGGCACCAGGGTGGCACTGGGGACTCCAGGGTGGCACCAGGGTGGCTCTGGGCAGCACCAGGGTGCCTCCCAGTGCCCACATCAATGGGCACTGGCACCACTGAGGGGTCACAGGGCCGGGGTTTGGGCCGGGCTCGTGCCAGGGGGGCACGGGCTGGGCTGAGCCCCCTGCCCTGCAGGGCTCGGCCGAGTCCTACACCAGCCGGCCCTCGGACTCGGACGTGTCGCTGGAGGAGGACCGGGAGGCGCTGCGCAGGGAGGCCGAGCGCCAGGCCATGGCCCAGCTGGAGAAAGCCAAGGTGGGACAGCCGGGGTGGGCACCCCGGGCCTGGCACTGGGATCCCCCGTGCCCCCAGCCCTGGCAAAGAGACCCCCTGACCCCCCCGGCCTGATACAGGGACCCCTCGTGCCCCCAGTCCCGGTACAGGGACCCCCTGGTGCCCCCCAGCCCTGCCAAAGGGACCCCCCAGTGCCCTCCATACCCCCCAGCCCTGGCACAGGGACCCTCGTGCCCCTCAGCCCTGGCACAGGGACCCTCGTGCCCCCCCGGCTTGGTACAGGGACCTCCCAGTGCCCCTCGTGACCCCCCCCCCCAGCACAGGGNTCAGAATCTCCCCGTTTCGGGTCAGAATCTCCCCATTTGGGTCAGAATCTCCCCACTTCGGGTCAGAATCTCCCCATTTGGGTCAGAATGCCCCCGTTTCAGGTCAGAATCTCCCCGTTTCGGGTCAGAATCCCCCATTTTGGGGTGGAATCTCCCCATTTCGGGTCAGAATCCCCCATTTCGGGTCAGAATCCCCCGTTTCGGGGCGGCCCAGGGTGCCACCTCCCCACCGCTGTGCCCCTCAGACCAAGCCGGTGGCGTTCGCCGTGCGCACCAACGTGGGCTACAACCCCTCGGCCGCCGACGAGGTGCCCGTGCAGGGCATGGCCATCTGCTTCGAGCCCAAGGACTTCCTGCACATCAAGGAGGTGCGAGAGGCCGGGGGGTGGGGTGGGAATGGGGGGGTTTTTTTAAGGGGTTTTTACCCCCCCTGACTGGAGGGGGAGTGTTTGAGGGTCGCAGGAGGAGGGAAGAGATGAGAATCTTCTTGTTGGAGAAGGCTGGTTTGTGATACGGTGTTGTTTTATGTGATTATAAAATGTAAGTTGTATATATTATTATATATATGTGTTATATATGTCATTATATATCTAAAATTATATGATATTATAATATATACAATAGATGATAATAGATAAAAATGTATCTAGATAGTAGATATATAGATAATAGATATAAAAGATCATAGATAATATATATATGTAATTTATATTTAATATATAATAAAATAATATGTAATACATATAATATATTATATATTATTATATTAATATATATTATATATATACTGTATATAATACTTACATAATAATATAACAAGAAATATAATATATAACATATAATAAATATAAATAATAAAATAATATACATAATAATATACAGTATATAATTAATATATAATATATAACATGTATAATATATTGTATTATATATGATACGACATTATTATATATTAATATATTATATTATTTTATTATTTATACTATTATATTGTATTAAAGATGCTACACTAAAAAGAGTAGAGAGAAAGGCTGGAAAGGAAAAAAAAAGGAAAGGGAAAGGAAAGAGAAGGGAAGGGAAGGAAAGGGAAAGAAAAGAAAGGAAGGGAAAAGGAATGGAAAAGGATGCTAACAACAGCTCGTGACTCTCAGAGTCCGACCCGGCTGCTCATTAATTGATCATTAATTACAAACAACTCCCCGGCCCTGCTGGTAACCAGTGCCCACCCCACACCCTGCACCCAGCAGATCATTCACAGTTCCCATTTCCTTTCTGAGACCTCTGGGCTGGACTAGGAGCCAAACCCCAAACCCCGAATCTCCTCACGCTGTCCTGCCAACCCCCGAATCTCCTCACGCTGTCCCGCCAACCCCCGAATCTCCTCACGCTGTCCTGCCAACCCCCGAATCTCCTCACGCTGTCCTTGCCGTGGCACAGAAGTTCAACAACGACTGGTGGATCGGGCGCCTGGTGAAGGAGGGCTGCGAGCTGGGCTTCATCCCCAGCCCCGTCAAGCTGGACAGCATGCGGCTGCTGCAGGAGCAGCGGCTGCGCCAGAGCCGCCTCAGCTCCAGGTGGGCTCACCTTCCTTCCCTTTATTCCCTTCATTTCACCCCCACACGCTCCCATCCCTCCCTCACTGTTCTCTGTGTGTTTCCCCCCGCAGTAAGTCGGGTGACAGCGGCGGCTCCAGCCTGGATGTGGTGACAGGGACGCGCCGGCCCACGCCCCCCGCCAGCGGTGAGGCCCCGCGCGGTCCCCTCCCCACGCGTGTCCCCGTGTCCCCTCAGGCAGGTGCCCCCATCCCCCCGGGACTCTGCTGCTCCTCTTGGTCGCCCTGCCCATCTCCGTCTCTGCTTTCTCCCATCGCCATTCTCGCTCTTCTTCTCCGCGCGCCCCCCAGGCGGCCTGGACGCGCCGGGCTTTGCCTTTGAGCCCGACGAGGTAGAGGAGGAGGAGGAGGAGGAGGAGGCGCAGCGCTCCCCTAAGAGTAGCGTGAGCAGCGTCACCACCCCCCCCGCCCACAGCAAGCGCATCCCCTTCTTTAGGAAGGTAACGGCCCCCCCCTCACGGCCTGCTGCACCCTGCCTGCCCTAACCCTGCCGGGGGGCTGGGGGCACCGGGGAGCCCCACGGGGCTGGGGGAGCCCGGGGAGCCCCACGGGGCTGGGGGCACCCGGGAGCCCCACGGGGCTGGGGGCAGGCGCTGCCCCGGTGTCACAGCACGGGGTGAGGCCTGCTCAGGGCATGGTGAGGGGGTGAGCCCCCCTGTTGTCAGGGGGATGGATCAGTCCATGGCTGTGGTCCCCCATATGGACTGTGGGATGGATCAGTCCATGGCTGACCCCCCCCATGGGCCGTGGGATGGATCAGTCCATGGTTGTGTCCTCCCCCATGGTCTATGGAATGGATCAGTCCATGGCTGACCCCCCCATTGTCCATGGGATGGATCAGTCCGTGGCTGCATCCCCCCCCATGGGCCATAGGATGGATCAGTCCATGGTTGTGTCCTCCCCCATGGTCTATGGAATGGATCAGTCCATGGCTGACCCCCCCCATTGTCCATGGGATGGATCAGTCCGTGGTTGGGCCCCCCCCCCACCGTTGTCCATGAGTTGGACCAGTCCGTGCTGTGATCCCCCCCAGTCCATGGGATGGACCAGCCCGTGTCTGTGCTCCCCCCATGGACTGAGGGATGGATCAGTCCATGTCTGACCCCCCCCCATTGTCAATGGGATGGATCAGTCCATGCCTGACCCCCCCAGTCCGTGCTGTGCTCCCCCCGTGATCCGTGGGATGGATCAGTCCAATCCATCCATGGTGACATTCCCCCATGATCCACGGGATGGATCAGTCCATGGCTGTGATCCCCCCCAGTCCATAGCCCGTGTCTGTGCTCCCCCCATGGACGAGGGATGGATCAGTCCATGCCTGACCCCCACCATGATCCATGCAATGGACCAGCCCGTGGCCGTGCTCCCCCCGTCCATGCAATGGACCAGCCCGTGCCCCCCCCCCGGTTGCCTCCCCCCGCAGTGTGCGCATGGTGTGTTCCAGCACGGCCGGTGTCTCTCCCCCCCGCGGCTGACAATGGACCGTTCCTCCCCCCACACCGGGCAGCAGCTGGGCGGGGTTTGGGCGCTACCACCGCGCGGGACGGGGGGGGGTCCGCAGGGGCTGCCCCCGAGCCCCCCGGCAGCCAGAGCTGCCCTGGGTGGGCGGTGCTGGTGTGGCACTGTCCCCAGGGCCCCCCCTTTGGGCGCTACCACCGCGCGGGACGGGGGGGTCCGCAGGGGCTCCCGGCTGCCCGGCAGCCAGAGCTGCCCTGGGTGGGCGGTGCTGGTGTGGCACTGTCCCCAGGGCCCCCCCGGGCACACACGTGTCACATGGGGTCACACACGTGTCACATTCCAGGTCACACACGTGTCTTTGGGGTGCCCAGGAGGGTCACACGTGTCACTGGGTCACCCTTGAGGGGTCACACTGGGGTCCCTGGGGTACACAGGTGTCACTGGGTCACCCTGCAGGTCACACTGGGGTCCCTGGGTCACGCCTGGGGTGTCACATGGGTGTCACTGGGTCACCCCTCGGGTGTCACACGGGTGTCACTGGGTCACACATATGTCACTGGGTCACACAGGTGTCACTGGGTCACCCCTCGGGTGTCACACGGGTGTCACTGGGTCACCGTGCAGGTCACACCCGGGTCTCTGGGTCACATGTGTGTCACTAGGTCACCCTTGGGGGTGTCATGCCCGTGTCACTGGGTCACAAATGTGTCACTGGGTCACCTTCCAGGTCACACATGTGTCACTAGGTCACCCTTGAGGGGTCACACTTGGGTCCCTGAGTCATATCTGTGTCCCTGGCTCACCCCTGGAGGGTCACACCCGGGTGCCTCAGTCACACGTGTCACTGGGTCACCCCTGGGGGTGTCACACATGTGTCACTAGGTCACCCTTGGGGGTGTCATGCCCGTGTCACTGGGTCACCTTCCAGGTCACACGTGTCACTGGGTCACCCCTGGGGGTGTCACACATGTGTCACTGAGCCACATCCGTGTCCCTGGAGGGGTCCTGTGTCACACCCGCATCCCTGGCTCACACATGTGTCACTAGGTCACATTCCAGATCCCACACGTGTCACTGGGTCACCCTGCAGGTCACACATGTGTCCCTGGCTCCCCCCTGGGGGTGTCACACGTGTGTCCCTGAGCCACATCCGTGTCCCTGGAGGGGTCCTGTGTCACACCCGCATCCCTGGCTCACACATGTGTCACTAGGTCACATTCCAGATCCCACACGTGTCACTGGGTCACCCTGCAGGTCACACATGTGTCCCTGGCTCACCCCTGGGGGTGTCACACGTGTGTCCCTGAGCCACATCCGTGTCCCTGGAGGGTTCCTGTGTCACACCCGCATCCCTGGCTCACACATGTGTCACTAGGTCACATTCCAAGTCACACATGTGTCACTGGGTCACCCTGCAGGTCACACATGTGTCCCTGGCTCACCCCTGGGGGTGTCACACCTGGGTCCCTCAGTCACACATGTGTCACTAAGTCACACTCCAAGTCACACGTGTGTCATTAAGTCACACTCCAAGTCACACATGTGTCACTAGGTCACATTCCAAGTCACACATGTGTCACTGGGTCACCCTGCAGGTCACACATGTGTTACTGGGTCACATTCCAGATCACACACGTGTCCCTGGGTCACCCTGCAGGTCACACACGTGTCCCTGGGTCACCCTTGAGGGGTCACACTTGGGTCCTTGGGTCACACACGTGTCCCCGGCTCACCCCTGGGGGTGCCACACGTGTGTCCCTGAGGCACACGCGTGTCGGCGGCTCCCTGCGGGCTGTCACCCCGGTGTCCCCGTGCCCCGTGTCCCGCGCTAACACGCATGCTTTGCCTTTGCTCTGCCTCTCCTCCCCCGTGCGTGCCCCGCGGCGCAGCCAAGCAGAAGCAGAAGTCGGTGAGTAGCGCCAGCAGCCCGGGCTGGGGGGGCACAGGGAGCACCCCCCGCTTGCAGCCCCCCCAAACCCACCCCGAGCCCCCCCGGGGGTGGCCGGTGTCCCCCAGGGCGCGGTGACCCCCGGCTGTGTCCCCAGGCCGAGCACGTGCCCCCGTACGACGTGGTGCCCTCCATGCGCCCCATCGTCCTCGTGGGGCCCTCCCTGAAGGGCTACGAGGTGAGCAGGGGGTGGGGGCGCTGGGGGGGACAGGGGGGACCCCGGCCCCGCATCGTCCCTCAAATAAACCCCCTAAAAAACCCCAAAAAGCCAAAAAAACCCCAAACACCCCTGCAAAAAAACCCCAAAATCCCCAAAAAACCCCCCAAAAATCCCCCCAAAAAACCCCCAAAATCCCCAAAACCCCAAAAAAACTCCAAAAAAACCCCCCAATAATCCCCAAAAGCCCAAAAAAAACCACCCCAAAAAACCCGCAAAAAAACCCCAAAAAACACCCCCCAAAAACCCCCAACACACCCACAAAAACCCCAAAACACCCACAAACCCCCTAAAAAACCCGCAAAACCCTCCATTTTTTGTCCCATTTCTCTGTTTTTTTGTCCCATTTCTCTTTTCTCTGGTTTTTTCTCCCATTTCTCTGTTTTTGTCCCATTTCTCCGGTTTCTGCCCCATTTCTCCGGTTTCTGCCCCATTTCTCCGGTTTCTGCCCCATTTCTCCGGTTTGTCCCATTTCTCTGTTTTTTGTCCCATTTCTCTTTCACTGTTTTTTTCTCCCATTTCTCCGGTTTCTGCCCCATTTCTCTCCCTGTGGCTCTCCCCCCGCGCTGCCTCTCCCTCCCCGCTCGCGGCTCAGACGTTCTGGGTACGTACAGGGACCCGGCCTGTCCCCGCAGGTGGCACTGGGGACACCTGGGTGGCACCTGGGTGGCACCTGTGTGACCCCCCCTGTGTGACCCCCCTGTGTGTGTGTGGTTTGGGGGGGCTGTGCATTGAATATATCAATATATCAATATTTATCTATTATATATATTTTTACACTGAATATATAAATAATTTTATATATAGATATATTTATGTTGATATATAAATATACATATAGATATATATATAAACTATATATTTTATATATATAAAGATATATAGATACTGCTGTATAGATATATAGCTATATATACTGAATATCTATATTTTGTATATATAAAGATATAGATATATAGATAGATACTGATATGTAGACATATATCTATGTATATATTTATATTGAATATATTGTCACCCCACCCCTAAGTCAGAAAAAACCTTAACCCAACACTTCACCACATTGTCCCCACGTGTCCCCTGTGTCCCCTGCCCCTCTCTCTCCCTGTCCCTGTGTCCCCCGTCCCTCACGTCCCCTGTCCCTGTCCCTGTCCCTGACGTGCCCTGTCCCCCCAGCCGAGGTGCAGAGTGAGACCGAGCGCATTTTCGAGCTGGCCCGGACGCTGCAGTTGGTGGCCCTGGACGCCGACACCATCAACCACCCGGCGCAGCTGGCCAAGACCTCGCTGGCCCCCATCATCGTCTACATCAAAATCACCTCCCCCAAGGTGGGCACGGGCCCGGGGGGCACTGCCAGCCCTCCTGCCACCTGGGGACCCGGGGCAGGCTCGGGTCGTGTCCCCAAGGCCACCCCGGCTGTCCCCTCCTTGCCCCCTGGGGACACCGGGCAGGCTCGGGTCGTGTCCCCAAGGCCACCCCGGCTGTCCCCTCCCTGCCACCTGGGGACCCGGGGCAGGCTCGGGTCGTGTCCCCAAGGCCACCCCGCTGTCCCCTCGTGCCCAGGTGCTGCAGCGGCTGGTGAAGTCCAGGGGGAAGTCCCAGGCCAAGCACCTCAACGTGCAGATGGTGGCCTCGGACAAGCTGGCACAGTGCCCACCTGTGAGTGTGCCCCTGGTCACCGTGGTGCCACCCTGACTGACCCCACCCTGAGCTGCCATGCCCACCCCCTGCCCGACATCTGCCTGCCCTGTCCCACTGTCCCTGCCCTGTCCCATTGTCCCTGACCTGTCCCACAGATCCCTCCCTGTCCCACTGTCCCCTCCCTGCCCCATAGGCTCTGTCCCACTGTCCTCACCCTGTCCCACTGTCCCCTTCCTGTCCCATAGGTTCTGCCCCACATCCAGCTGCTCCTCTCTGTCCCACTGTCCCCATCCTGCCCCACAGGCTCCTGCCCCACTGTCCCCACCCTGTCCCATAGGCTCTGCCCCACATCCAGCTGCCCCTCCCCGTCCCACTGTCCCCTCCCTGTCCCACTGTCCCCATCCTGCCCCACAGGCTCTGTCCCACTGTCCCCTCCCTGCCCCACTGTCCCCTCCCAGTCCCACTGTCCCCGCCCTGCCCCACAGGCTCTGTCCCCACCCTGTCCCACTGTCCCCACCCCACCTTTCTCCCGCCGTCCCCAGGAGATGTTCGACATCGTGCTGGACGAGAACCAGCTGGAGGAGGCGTGCGAGCACCTGGCCGAGTACCTGGAGGCGTACTGGAAAGCCACGCACCCGCCGAGCAGCAACCCGCCCAACCCGCTGCTGACGCGCACCATGGCCACGGCCGCGCTGGCCGCCAGCCCCGCGCCCGTCTCCAACCTCCAGGTACAGGTGCTCACCTCCCTGCGCAGGAACCTCAGCCTCTGGGGCCGAGAGGCCACCCCCAGCCCCCCCGGAGCCCTGGAGGAGCACGCGCTGTGAGGTGGCGAAGGGGACAGTGGGGACATTGAGGGTGTCGGGGAATCGGGACGGCTCCCAGGCTTTGGGAGATCGCCGGGATGGGGACAGCTCGGGAGTCACAGCGCCCCGCGGGTGTGGGGTTGGCCCTGGGGTCACCTGGGATCAGGGTGACTCCAGGGGCATGTGGCCCTCCCCAGGTATGGGATTGTCCCTGAGGTCACCTGTCCTGGGTGACTCCAGGGGCATGTGGTCCCTCAGGTGTGACCCACTCCCCTGGGGTCACCTGTCCTGGGATCAGGGTGACTCCATGGGAATGTGGCCCCCCACACATGTGGGGTTGTCCCTAGGGTCACCTGTCCCGGGATCAGGGTCACTCCACAGGACTGTGGCCCCTTACAGGTGTGGGATTGTCCCTAGGGTCACCTGCCCTGGGTGACTCCAGGGAAATGTGGCCCCTCAGGTGTGACCCACTCCCCTGGGGTCACCTGTCTTGGGATCAGGGTCACTTCAGGAGACTGTGACCCTCCCCAGGTGTGGGACTGTCCCTAGGGTCACCTTTCCTGGGGTCAGGGTGACTCCAGGGGAATGTGGCCCTCCCCAGGTGTGGGATTGTCCCTAGGGTCACCTGTCCTGGGTGACTCCAGGGAAATGTGGCCCTCCCCAGGTGTGGGATTGTCCCTAGGGTCACCTTTCCTGGGGTCAGGGTGACTCCAGGGGCATGTGGCCCTCCCCAGGTATGGGATTGTCCCTGAGGTCACCTGTCCTGCAGGTTTGGGATTGTCCCTAGGGTCACCTGTCCTGGGATCAGGGTCACTCCACAGGACTGCGGTCCCTTACAGGTGTGGGATTGTCCCTAGGGTCACCTGCCCTGGGTGACTCCAGGGAAATGTGGCCCCTCAGGTGTGACCCACTCCCCTGGGGTCACCTGTCTTGGGATCAGGGTCACTTCAGGAGACTGTGACCCTCCCCAGGTGTGGGACTGTCCCTAGGGTCACCTTTCCTGGGGTCAGGGTGACTCCAGGGGAATGTGGCCCCTCAGGTGTGATCCCCTTCCCTGAGGTCACCTGTCCTGGGATCAGGGTCACTCCACAGGACTGTGGTCCCTCACAGGTGTGGGATTGTCCCTGAGGTCACCTGGGATCAGGGTCACTCCATGGGGAATGTGGCCCCCCCACAGGTGTGGGGTTGTCCCTGAGGTCACCTGTCCTGGGATCAGGGTCACTCCACAGGACTGTGGCCCCTTACAGGGTGTGGGATTGTCCCTGAGGTCACCTGTCCTGGGATCAGGGTGACCCCACGGGACTGGGGCCACCCCTGGGGTTAGGGTCACCCCAGGAGACCATGATCCCAAGGTGTGGGGTCACCCGCCCTGGGGACCCTGGGATCAGGACAGCCCATGGGATTGGGGTCACCATGGGGAGCCGGAGCCCCCCAGGGGTGGCCCCAGCCCTGGGACTGCTCCTTTGGGAGCCCGTGTCCCCCCGGGTACTGCAGGCCCCAACTCTGGGACTGCTCCTGGGATTGGGATCACCCCAGGGAGCTGCTCCCCTTCCTGGGCTGGGGCCATCCTGGGGTGCTCTCTCTGCCTGGGGCAGCCAGCCCCACATTTGGGGTCTCCTGGGACTCTGTGCCTCCTCCTGGAGCCCCCAGGGGATTGGGAACCCCCAGGGGATTGGGAACCCCCAGGATCTGCCCCTTTCAGGACCCACCCTGTGCCTTCCTGTGGCTGCCAGGCTGCCAGACCCCCTTCCCACCTTTCTGGGGGCGACACTTTGGGGGCATCCTGGGTTGGGGGGCACAGCCCCACCCCACAGCGCTGAGCCTGGGATCCTGCAGCCACCCCGCGGGGCTGGGGACAGCGAGGGGACAGTGTCCTGTGTCGTGTGTGGCTGAATCTCCCGGCGGGGCTCTGCCGCTGCATCCCCCTCCCCTGTGCTGCTCCCCCCGCCCGTCCCCAGCCCTGCCACCATCGTGTCACCCACCAGCGGCCGGCCAGCAGCGTGTGTCCCCCCGCTAACCCCCACTAACCCCCCCGGGAGCCCCCAGCCCGTCCATCCCCGCATGGTGTGGTCGCTTCTCCCCAGGCTCCGCACCCCGAGGGGGAGCACGGCCGCCTCCGGCAGGGCGCGGGGGACCCGGGGGGGCGCGGGCAGGGCAGGGTCCCCCCGCCGCCCTCCCGCCCGGCTGCCCGCAGCCTGGCCCGCCAGGACACCTTCGACGCGGAGGCTCCGGCCAGCCGGGACGCGGAGCCCGGCGATTCCTGCTGCATGGACATCGAGATGGATCCCGTCGAGGAGGAGCCGCCGGGCACCCCCGGGGCCGCACCGCAGCCGCCCCCCGGCTCCTGGGACGGCCCCGAGCCGGGCCGGGGGCTGCGGGGGCGAGCCAAGGGCCAGGAGCCCCTGGGCCAGAGCGACGGGGGGGGCTGGGCCCGGGATGTTTACATGCGTTAGGGTGAGGGGGTGCGGGCGGGGGGCTCCCCCCCGCCAGCGCTGGTTTTGGGGTGCGGGGCAGCCCCGCTGGTTGCCTTCGTGCCCCCCCGAGCCCGGCCAGCAGCCCCGGCTGTGCCCTGGGGGCTCCCCCTGCCCCGCTCGTTGTTGAGGGGGGGTGTGGGGGGGGTCTCCCCCTGCCGCAGCCCCCCCCAGCATCTCCGGCAGGGACAGCAAGTGACCAAAAGGGGACCCGGCGTGTCGCCGTGCCCCAGCGCGGGGTGGGGGCCGTGCCCCCCTCCCCGGCCCTGCCCGCTGGGTGCCCCCCCGCTTCTCCATGGTGCTCTCGGCCCTGGGGGTCCCCGGAGCTGGGGGGGTCCCCGCCAGCTGCCCCCCAGCCCGGCCGGGGGGTGCATGCGTGTGTGTGCAGGGCTCTGGGGGTCCCCAGGCTGTGCCCCCCGAGGGGGGGGTGGGGGGGCGCGGTCTGCATGTGTTTGCCTTGTGGGGGGGGGTCCTGGGATCAG